TTAACATTTGAATACTGCAGCTACGTCAGCGTGATTGTAGCGCCATCCTTTTTGTCAACTCAAAAACGAGCCTCCCACAAGCGTGTTGGCGGGCGTTTCTCCTCCTTTGGGCAAGTTCCTTTATTCCACCTGCAGCATGAAAATTTTCACTCCCGAAGGCAACAATGACGCATGCGCAGCACTCTCGTGCTGCTCATTTTGCTTCTATTGAATATTGGTGGTTAATATAAGAACAGGTTGTCACCAGGGGCGCTCGTATCATGGCGGCTAGACGGCTGCGAGTGAATACATCGTGATTATTGGTGGACTTGAGTGAGAGATATCGTAGCCATGTGATTATATAGCATTTGCTTCTTCGTGCGTGTTTGCGTAGTCTGCGCAATAAAGCTGATAGATGAATCATGCCACTCACTGTTGTTGCGGCGAGAACACTGCTCCTCGGCAAGAGCAAAAGTGGTGGGCAGACCTGATCTTCGCTGCGGGCGTCTGTAAATCAGACTGATTGACGCGTGAACTCGGGTACAAACGCGTTGATTTTGAGAAGGCCTAAATTCAGCTTGTGGCGGTCATAGGGCTGGCGTGGCTGTAAAGCGTTTATGCGGCGATGCCAAGCAGCAGCGTGTTTGCATGTAAAATGTTTCGGTAAGCTTGCACTACTTGTGCAAGGCTGGCACCACACAGTAGCTTGTGATCATCTAGCTTTTTCCAGATTTGTCGGTCATCTACTCGGTCTGCTCTGTATGCTTAGAAGTGACCAACGCATCAACTGTGTCCTAATTTCCTGTTTACTAAGTCGCTAGGGTTTAATGAACATAACAATGAACAGTCTTGCCTAAATTATTAAAGTTCCATTTAGAACAGCTATAATTATTTCGGGTACAATTTGTAAGGCCTTGATTAGAATGAAGCTGCTTTCTTAATCTTAACTGGCACGACTGTAATAACCATTGTGTTGGGCCTAATTAGCATTGTTTTACTTAGCGTGTTCATGATGTCAATAAATACGTTCTCGCTAATTAGCATGATTTTTCTAGCCCGGTCCTAGCTTTACATGGCTTCGTTAGCATGGCCTTATTAAGACGTGACGTAATTTCCTCAGTCCTAACATGACCTTGCTTAATTAGCTTGGTCATAGCATGCCCTGATATAACTAGCCAAGTATACAGGCCAGGTAGATAGCTGATTTGCCGGGCACACTTGCTCAGGGAGCTAGCAGATGACGAGTACGAAGAAGAGGGTGCGCACTGGACGGGCCGCGCGCTTGATTGTACAGGCCGAGCATGCGGATTATACGCGAGTTCTCGGTTGTATCTGCAATCACGATGGTTTAAGGCACTCGGCCACAAGTAATCTCCGAGGCAACCATGCTGATTATTCTAAAGGATACCTAATGCAGACATTAAAAGCTCCAAAACAAAATTAAACAGCCCATGCCCTATATATATATATATATATATATATCATCAGGAAAAGTTTCAGAGGCCTTTTTCATGAGTGCACTTGTGCACTCAATGGAATGACGAAGAAATGATAGAAAATGTCTCTGGTTGAAAGCACTGCCCAACTTTGGTGACCGCCCTGGACGCGATGGCGGGTTCTATCTTGACCGAAGAAATGCAGTGATCTGTGGAGTGGATTAGACTTTTTTGTATTGTTGACTCGTTCAAAAGGGGGTTTCGCCAGAGCCCATAAATATCCCGAGTTTCGCCAAGCTCGGGAAATCTTACATAGCGTCCAGGATGAGTGGCTACGGATGTTGCACGACAACTTACTGCTGGCTTGTTTGTGAGCGTCGTTATGCACGCGAGCTCCTTCAGAGGGTGATTCATCGGGTATACATGACGTACGATGCAAAACATCATCGCAGTGCACAGCTAGAGTGAGGTGCCACGAACACACGAATAGAGGGAGATAACAACACTTAAGCAAACAATTTTGTTTGAAAATGTGAGGCAGTGAGAGCACTCTTACGATAGACGCCCACAGTCGATGGTCGCGGGTTCGATACCGGCAGCGTCGGTCGCATTTCATTGATAGTGAAATGCTAGAGAACCTTGTGCCGTGTGATATTAGGCACGGGAAGGAGCACCAGGGGGTGAAAATTACTGGATCCCGCCCCACCGGTGTCTTTCAATCATATTGTGGTTTTGAGGCGTAAAACTCAAGGTGCTAATATTACGATTGACGCCCGAGTGACTTCGGGGTGCTGCTCCCTATATCAACATTAGAGAACACTAAATCTTTTCTTTTTTTTTCGTAGAGACTGGAAAAGAAATGATTGTGCCCTATAGCACCAAAATGTCAAGCTTTCAAGATTCAACTATAAGTTTTTAAATACCTTTATTTTTCGTTGTAGCGGCTGTTCTTTGAAGGAGCCACACGCACACGCACGTGTGCTCGATGTCTGGTGGTCCGTGATAGAAGTGCTTTGTAGCAGATTGCTGTGAAGTACGAAAAATAGTGCGTAGGACAGGCATGTCATTGCTTCATCGAAGATGCTGACATCAGAACAACAAAATCCATTAAGATTGACCTCTGCAGCAGCGTGGCACGTGCCGTTGCATACTGCTGTTCTTCAAAGGCACCGTGCTGCAAATAAGGATGCCATAGGAGATCGAGAGTTGAATCCGCCAGAAATCTATGGTCTGGGCCTCAGCCTACCTCGTTTTCTCCTATTTGTAGTAACACCTGGAGTTCTTTTTTGCGTAAACCACGATATGATTAATTTCCCCACTGTAGTGAATGATTCCGAAATTTCTGACCAATTGGTGTTCTTTAAAGTGCACTAAAATCGCACAGGACACGGACCTTTAGAATTTAGCCTCTTTTGAAATGCGACCGCTGCAACCGGAATCAAACCCGCGACTTGAAGTAAGCAGCGGAGCACCGTGGCTGCTGTTTCACCGAAGTGGTGTGAGTAATTCATTGTTGATAGATATGATCTTGTCGCCGAGTGTGTTAGAGGTTGCCGTCATTACCTTAATCACTATGCTTATTCACAATCAGCAAAACTATTTTCATTGGGCAGATAATATTAGGACACTGTAAGCCAAGTCCAGAAATAATGAAGCTACTCACCTTCATGTTCAGTAAATGGAGGTACCTTATGTTCGCAAACGTCCTAACCCAAAAGTCTACAATGCGTTGGCTTTTCGGTATAATAGCTCAAGGACTTTTCTATAGAGGAACAATGCAGTGTTTGAGACATGCTTCACGACATATCTTAATCACAATTGCTCGCTATTGCGTAAATACTACGCGTTGCTCGACACAAGTATCCCATATTTATATAGAGTTTCCTTCAGTTTGATCAAACTGGAAAGCATGCCCAACATATTTCTGTGCGCTCGGCCACACAGTTCATTATCGTCTTCAAGTTATTTTCTTTACAGTGTCTGTAGAAGTTCCTGAATATTAGTGCCTCTTAGTAGAATACATGCCATCAGCATTAGGCCCCAAAAGGCCCGTGCAGTGCTTCAAAGCCCGAAGGATGCGATGCCCAGTAATAGAAGATGATACATCCCCAATTCGCCACCTCCAGCATGCACTGGCCAAGCGTATGCGAAAACTTTTCTGGGCACACCAAGACGTATTTTATGCATATAATACTATCGCAGATATTGCTTGGCCGCTCAGCGTTTACCTTTCGTCGAAAACAGTGGATACAAACTGCGGCATTCAACGCGGGTTTGTAAGACGACCCTTTTTACAAGTCATAAACGACGCTGTTGCTTTTTATTCAGCATTGTCACGTGCTACAAAAAGAGCAAAAGAACATCAAAACACAAATAGAATGAACGTATGAATAATTTTTGAAAAGTGTGGTTTCTTCGACTTCACCTCATTTAGCCGTTTTGGGCCTCTTTCGCCTTATTTAGCCGTTTTTGGTTGGCTACGGTTTGCTTGCTCCACCCATCAGGGCAGCTGCACTGCCTTGCAAACTTTGGCAGCTTGTTGGGAAATGACTCGTAGAGCTTGCTTAACTAGTTAGTTTAACTTAGTAAACCTGCCCTCCAGAGTACACGTATTCCTTTTTCTGCCAAGAGACATGAAATATCGACCGATAACTACGTCACCATTCATTTCTTTACTCTTGGCATGATGGAGCAGGATCTTCTCTTTCATCGCCTGCTATAGATCGATAGATCAGGTATACCTTCCCAGGCTCGCTCCACACAAGAAGCGTCGAACAGGTGTGCTATCATATACGACGCGTGCCAACTGACCCACGCTTCAACCCTCCAAGGCGCTCCGCCTCCAAGGGCGCCTTCGAGGAGTTAAGGGTTCCCCATCGGTCATGCAAATAGAGAAAACGTGCTGCAAAACATCAATCCTGCAATCAGCGACCGGAGATTTCTGTAAACGGCCGAGGCAGCCGGCACCGACTCGAGCTGGTGCGAGGTGATGGTTAGTTCCTCCTTGACCCCGAAGGGTGGCGGCTTGATGTTCGTGCACACGACCCGAGGAGATGGCTAGCGATCATAGCAGGTCATGCCTAATTGGCCAGCGCTCTTTCTCTCCTCACAACCTGAATCGGCGCCTCGAGCGCCGCTGAAGGTGAAGGACGATTGCTGGATGAGGCAAGAAGCGGGGGTGCACTTGCCGAGTGATGTGTGCTTCCCTCACTTTCGTTTTTATGATGTTCGCAACCGCCAAAGTGAAAGAAAACATCGCTTTTATTATTTCCGTTTTGCTCGTGCAGAGGCCACCGGGGAAAGCGCGGAGGCGTTAGCGCCGATTGTGTATATGCCTTTGTGAGTGTGTCGTAATTACGCGAGTATGTCGCTGCGTTTGCGCGTCGTCCGGCCACGCCAGCGCTTGCTGCCAACGCTAGAACCTTTGCAGAAGCGTAGAGAAACGTCAGGATGACGCATGTCCACAAAATGGACATAAAAAATAGATAGGTAAGAAAATGAAATGCAAAGCATACAAATGGAAAGGGTGGCAGGTAGACGTAAGATATTCGTATATAAAGGAAGAGCGTGTGCGAGTACCTCCGTGAGTTTGACTTGACGGAGTCTGTGGCGCCCTTGTCTTCTGTGTTTACAAACGGAGTCGTGCTTCTGGCTTGCAGCTACACCGGAATTAAAACATGGTGAGCACTTTGCTTGTGTTCGTGCTGCCATCTGGCATGAGCGAACTCAGAGTTTTTCTCTTATCAGAAAGAATAGAAATGAAAGTTGGAATGCGTACCTAATCCTAAACTTCAGTGAACAAAGCATAGCGGTTACGCTCTTGGAGAAAAAGAAAAAAATGTGGGCATAATAACATGTGCCTTACAATGCGAGCTTAGCAACTCCGTCGAGATTTGATGAAACCTAATTGCGTTTGACAAACGTCGTGGACGGCATCAGAAACAACTCTGAAAACGGAGCCATAAGCTTTGAATGAAGAGGTGTGAACAAGTGCTTTATGAATTCCGTACCTAATATAGTGCGTTGCACCGTGCATACGAATCCACTTCTCGTATGAAGCAGTGATACGCAGCGGCCCAAACGTTAAACACTTTGTTTATGTCGGAAAACAACAACAACAAAAAAAAAACAGGCTAGCTCAGTGATCCGTATTGCTCTTGACTATTGAAAAGCATTATTTAGTCTTTTACAGTTGCTGTTAGCGTTGCATGTTATTCACTCTGACGCTGTTAGCGACTACATTTGCTGCATATCTGTATTCACTCGAATGATATTATCTTCAAATGAACGGTTATCATTGTGTGGTGCTTCACACCCCATTTAAGTCTGCCTCCAATACCACAACAGCTTCAATGTAAACGTCGACACACTTGTGATTTTTCGTTATTTCATGCTTTGAGGGTTACGTATACGTAGGCATATTTGAGGAGGCAGGAACGTACAGCGGAGGGGGAAATAGATATAACTCATCGAAAACATTTTAGGATTTGTCCCAATGTGGTATATCTGGACCACTAATTTGCTTTAGGGAGAGAAGAAAACACAAGAGCTGTCAACAATGTACATGCAAATGGCACGTCACTTTCAAGTTAGACTGGCCGCTTCTTTATTCACATGCAGCTTTAAAGAAGCTCAGTCGTAGCCGCATCGTGACCAATGGCCAAAGAAGGTCTACGCTTCTAACGACAACTATGCATACATTCGGAATTACCATCTGGCTGCATGGGTGTGCCTTCAGATGCCGTTTCATGCTAAGATTTTTCATTTCATGCCAATTTGAGCAAGAGTGGGGGGAAGTGCTTTCGGTAATGCGCGTAAAGGCTATGTCACAGGACATGACGTTTCAACAAACTGAAAAAAGTATGTTTAATGAGGCTTCTTGTTAGATACGGAAATCCATTCACTACGATAAGACAGCACATAGAATAGAGGCTAGGTTATAGGGTGCTGAATACAACCTCCTGTCCTATTATCTCTATTTATTGCCTTGTCTTAGCACTCTTTTTGAATTCCGATCTGGATGAGCTTTCGTGAACACTTCCGCTTTCTTGTGTTTCACAAACGCACTCACTGGTTACGCTATTATGGAATACGGGGTAGATGACGCCCATTATCGATGTCAAATCGGCCTAGGACTGATTTTAATACCTACATTCAATGCTTTTATGAAGTATTTTGCACACAAGACCACTGAAAGGGTGACTTACAAATTAAAACCTATCGTTGAACGTTAGCTTCATTCTGAGCCTACGTGATGACAGCAATCACAAAAATTCCATGCATGCAAGCAAGCTATAGTGCGATTTTATGTGCAATTATGGGGACAAGATATTTTTGGAGGTTATCAGCCATGATGGCAAAATACAACCTGGTGATGGGCCGAGTGTAGGCACATCTACCTATTCATGGTCATGGCGTTTTCTGCATAAATGAGAAAGATAGGTGAAGAGTAATAGGCAAAGCCATACGAAATCTCGAAAGGAGGAAGAGGTGATCAATAGAATCCATCGCTCCCGCTGTATCTGTACAGCCGCATATGAGAACGTGTATGCTCCTTTGAAAACTTCATTGCCACTGCAGGGTTGCATACCAGTTCTTCTAGACTGGTAACGCCCTTGCCTTTTCTTTCTTTCATGTTCCTTCCTCCTTTCGTTCATGTTTCTGGCACTCTAGAACATGAGAAGTTGTGTGAAATCTGAAGCGAAGCGACTGAAAGACACATCTGCGTGTGGCATCATTTAGGCGGTTCACTTCACTTGGGAACGCAGGGCACACTCTCTTACGTCTGTGATAAGTCAACGTCTCTTAAGGTGAAAATTGCGACATCTCAAACTGCGTGAAAAAATTGTCGGATAGTAACATGAGATGTTTCGTGTCATGTCTCATCGTTAGTGTGGTACCTGAGAGGCCGTACAGTTATTACTAAAGAGAAAGTTAGCTATCACCTTAGAACTTGGTGTAAACACTCCTTCTTGAAAGATGACACGATCAACTAATTTACATATACTTATAGGAGGTGAAGAAAATGAAGGAGAGGCAGAGAGCTTAACCAGCTAGGCATCGCTGAGCAAATGGGCGGTGAAACGGCCCCCCAGCGACTCTAACTGTGGATAAACTTCGCTTCCGGTGCCTGCTGTTGGGTAATTATAGGAAGACCCAAATCGAAGCGCTACTTTCCTCAGCGAACGCAAGAACACGAGTTTGGGTGCCTGTTGAACCTTTTTACTGCGTTTTCTAGGGCAGGGTGGACCAGCGATCTCCCTTGATGCACACCTGTGCCAGCCTACTCCACGACAACGCTCAATATTGCCTACAAATGCGCTGCAGTACTTTTTCATGGGCAGCAATATAACACACAATAAAAGTTAACGTGGCTAGAACCAGCAAAGCACTAGATTAATTAGCGAAACATAGAACAAGTCTTTCTTTTGAAGTGGGCGTGGACACGCTCATTATGATGAACATGAAAAAGCCATAAAATAAGCAAACACCTAAAGATACACAGGTAAATTGCGATTTTCCTATAGCAACCGAGAAATAACTGTCAGCCCAACAAGAACATTCGTTGCACAAAAGCAAACAAACAAAAAACAAAACCGGCCAACGCCGAGGACTGTGAGAATAAACTTCATACGAAGCAGTGAACGAGCCATAGCCTATGCCAGATTTTGCGTCATGAATAAAGCGTTCAGAGCCAGAGTGACTTACTTATGCAAACTCTGTATCTGTGCGCATATGCTCGGTTTACCCGACGCACCGAGTAGTAAGTACCCTGGTGGGTGGTGGGTCAAGGTCTGACCTAACGTCGGCATTGACGTCGAGCAGAGACATCAGTTTTCTCACCACGAAGTGCGGGCTAAGGTGCGAATATACGCACATACTTCACAAGCAGCAGTCATAGGCGTAGGTGTGCGCAGGGTTACTTAAGGAGAAGGGGCCAAAGATTTAGTGCAACGCAGCCCTGTCTCGCCCCCCCCCCCCCCCGCCCCGCTGGTCGACTTAAAAAAAATCTGCTTCACAATTGATGAAAAAAGATTGAGCGTTGGCGTTCTTCTCAGAACAGCTTGCTTTTGATGCTTGGCTTTTCGGGAGTAAAGTTTATAGGAAGAAAGAACATCAGGCAGTTTGGGACGGTATTCTCACCAAAAAATTGTGTGCCAACAACCCTGCTGCTTTGACGGGAGAGATGCGATGGACAAAAGGTATGGGTCTAAACTTAACCACAAGTATTACTTAAGGTAAACTTACGACATTGAAGTACTGTATCGTATACAAGATTTCGAAGTATTCAGGCGCTTTATTGAAATATTTATCGGTGTATATATGTTTCATGCATTGCAGGCAAAGCTGGCAATTTTACTAGGTCTTGTTGTCATCGCTGTGACGATGGCGCAAGCGCAACAGGTAAGAAATTTACCAGCTGTGAGCAGCTGGTAATTTTTTCATCCACTTTTCTTTCTTCTTTCTTCTTATTTACATTCCATTGGTTCTAATAACTTCCCCTGTACATTCCTTGGCATTACTGTCTGTTATATCTCATATATATATATATATATATATATATATATATATATATATATATATATATATATATATATATATATATATATATATATATATATATATATATATATATATATATATATATATATATATATATATATATATATATATATATATATATATATATATATATATATATATATATATATATATATATATATATAAGGATATGCTACCGGCTCCTTTTTGTAATGCCCTCGGGCTGTAGAAGTGTATGTAATAAATAATACATAAAAATATGCAACTCTCGCTAAGCATTGCCAGTAACACAAGGCTGGACGCATATTGCAGCTTATATAAAAAAAAGGCTAAATTAATTTATATTTAAATGAAAAGAGTTTAGCGCAACCTCATGGCATTGGACAAAGTGGTGCCTTTGCGATTTTAAGCTTAGCTCCACGGCCTTTTCTTAATACGATTGTAATAGTCCAGCTGATTTTCTTCATTGCGCACATTGCGACGTTTCCTTCGCTTTGTTATCTAAACGTATGACACGCCTACGTTGCAGCCGCAGGGTGAGGCGTACCAGTTCCGGTACGACGTACCGAACCCAGAAGGAGGGAATCACTTTCACGAGGAGTCAAGCGACGCGGGGGGCGCCCGGCGTGGCTCGTACGGGGTCACCAACAATGAGGGACAGTTCGTCAACGTCGAATACGTCGCCGATGAGAACGGCTACCGTCCGGTCATCAAAAGCAACGTGCCTGGCGTGTCGAGGGAGGGTTAAGCGCACATTTAGTGGACGCAGTACGAGAGAAAGCATCGCAGAGCGGGGACTTATGGCACTGGCATCAGTGCTTTCATCTAAGTGCCTTCATTTCTCACTCCTTGGAACTATGGCAGTGGTTTTCAGCCAACGCAGCGCAGCTATATAAAAGGAAATTTCGCATATACATAAAAATAAACTTTTTTTACCTGATGTTTTGTCCGTATGTCTGTTTTTTTGGAGCTGGTGCTGCTAGGACGAAGAGTTACTACTGTGCATAGTTGAAAAGGAATGAAGGTGGGTATTCCACGTTGAACCTCCGACCTTCCCTTATTCCCAATACACGAATCTACGATCACGAGCTCAAGCAGTAAAGCCGTTAGAAGGGTATGGTGATAATTTGCCCAACTACAAGTTGTAGAAAGCAACCTTGTATCTATGCTTTGTCACCGAGAAAATGAAAATAGCCTCTACAGGTTCAATACTGTGCTCAGAGGGATGCTCTTAATACCATCGACGCATTGAACTACCGCAAAACTTCGAGGTGACGTTATTAGCTGGCGTGTGAGCCAGCCCTGGTGGTTTTGCAGTTATGATTGCGACATTAAGGCGTACGACATTGCGGTATTACAGCAATGGTACTGCGGCAAGCTTCATTCACTGGTGAGATAGTGGCTTCTTGCGGAGTGCACCGGTGCCTAGACTCCCGGAAGCCAGGAAGTATGCAATGCGAAGAGATTGTTTACACAAAGTCAGCTACCACGTGCCTTACCTATGAAAAAAAAAAACACCTTTACCGGTGGTTACATCTCTTCACGTCGTTGTACAATATTTAAGCTTATCGATCAACCCGTCTTGCATTAAGGCAAATACACCCTTGCCAGAAAAAAGGGCTGAAAATGGATGAGCAGTCATTCATTTCTGTTTTCGGTTTAAATGTGACGCTAGTTCTTTAGAAGTCACTAATCAATATTTGATGGAATGTGAAATGTGCGTGTGTAGTCGTAGCTTCTGAGTGGTACAACAAATAATGCATGGTAATTTTGCTACCCTGTGCCCACACTCAGGTACACGGGCTGACTCCTTGAAAAGCGCGCAGCAGTTACACCTGTTTCGAAGATTTTCAAGGCCTAGGTAAACTAATTCTCTTATCTATTTGACTAGGAAAAAACACTGTTTTCTCCCCCACTTTTTATTTCAAACATGACGCAGGCTTTTCATTCAGCAAAATTGTATTGAGGATGTTCAGCAAAAGACTTCAGGTAACACGTGAAAACGCATTGTTGGGACGCACTCAGTTTTTTTTTTCTTTCTACAACGCAATGCTGCGTCTATATGTGCGAAGGAAAGCGGAACCCAATTAACACGCCTCGCAACGGAGAATGAACAGTGTAATTGCCAGTTGTACGGTTATGTCGGACGAAAAGTAAAGAAACTGTGAAAGGCTAATCAACGGCGCACGTAACAACTTATGGTTGCTGCACAACGCACTTTCGAACGCATTCCGGGCCAACACCAGCTCACGGAACAGGAACAACGGCGAGGCGATAAAAGTTTTTGTTGCGCTCTGTAGGGTTACGCATTATATAGCAGGGAAGTGGCATACCGCGATACGGTGCACGAGCACTGATGCCGCCTGTACGCTTCGTTCGTGAATGTAATCGTCCACGCATGAGGTAAGGCGTCGAGAAAGACAGCGAATCATCATGTGCGGCAGGTAAGCACGTTGTACCGGCGGCGGACCGTGAGCCACTGTGGTTTGCAAGGCCCTGCTTTCCCTCCTTCGACTCGATGCTTGACCATGGTGGGCCCTTAAAAAGAGCCGAGACGGTCGTGGCTGCCTCAGTTCTTACACGTGGGCACGTGAGAGCCTTTTCTAGTCCCATAATCGTAGAGCAACTCCTGCCTTCGGATTTATCATTGAAAAGACACCGGTCTTCGGCGCTCTATACGTCATGTCCAAGTATGGCTACTTCCCTATACTGGTAGGTGTGAACGTTTACGATACTGTTTAGTAATGATTCGGTGTCGTTAGGAGGAATACAGATGGGCAGGGAAATGCGACGGCCACTACAATAACGAAACTTTGGTGCTAAAATCATAACTGTTTCGCCTATTCGCACCCCACATGCATGTATGCGAATACTAGTTTGTCATCGCGACAGTTTCACCATAATGCCAAATAACAAAGTATACTTATACAACCATGGAACGATGACATCTAACATCACATGAGAATTTTGCACAGGCAAAATGCGATGAAGATACGTGCTCTGAAACGTTTCAACAACTCGGTGAAGTAATTGATGAAAGGCGGATGGTTTGGTAAGACAAAATTGGAGCAACAGTTATATTTGAGGGCAAAAAAGTTCTAGCATCAATGGGATACGTTCTGTTATAAATAAATGTAACGCTTAGTGCAATAGTGCATCATCAAACTGATAAAGATCATGACCGAGCTGCGCAGAAACAGCCACCAATACGAAGCTGAGTAAACAATACATGTCGTTTTACTTATTTTACCGATACGATGAGGGTCGACAGGTGACTGTACCTTCGGTCTGAGCTGCACGCTCTAAACCCCCTTTTTACGGATTAAGGTGAACTTGAGCAGAGGTGTCGATACATACTCGTTGCTGTTTCATCGCTATACGTTCGTTCGTTGCGTCAAGTAACAAAGATGGAAAGATGAGACGACATGGGCACACAAAAATTCTTTTCTTTCGTCTAACCTGCTTCCTTTTGGTACTTGGCGTAACAATCAAACGTTGCGGTAAACTAGAAGCTTGTTGAGTATTCAAAGCATCTTTTCTTTTATAAAAGCTAAAAGCAGGGCGTGTTGACACGAGTCATCTCTAACGAGAAAACAAAAAAATTGCCCGCAGCTTCCCTCGGGGGAACACTGAGGAGGATGCGGACCATATAATTGGTTAACGGGGTGTTAAAGTGCGACTTACTTGGGTCGATGGCTAAATTGGTTAACGTGGTTGTGAAATGGGGTGTTAAATTGCGACTTACTTGGGTCGATGGCTAAATTGGTTAACGTGGTTGTAGGAGGGGGTGTTAAATGAGTGAACACGTACACACGTATGCGAAAGGGCGGCGCTGGTCGAAGGGACGTCGATCATTGTGTTTGTGGATTCGTTGGAATTCATTTCACCGCGACCTTGGACGTCGACGCGCCGTACAAACCAACCGACGAGCGGCAACTGAGCGAGCGAGCGCCGACCTTGAGTATATATACAGCACGACGGTGCATGCACTGTCAGCTGTTGGATGTTCTCGAAGCGCGACGCCACATGCGCGTCCACTGGAGAATCAGGAGAATTGTAGATGTCGAACGCGGTGTGTAGAGGAGGAAGGGTGCACAGATGGTGGAGGAGTGAAGCGCGCGCGGTGTGTAGAGGAGGAAGGGATGCACAGATGGTGGAAGAGTGGGCGACGGCGCGACGGCGCATGCGCGCGCGTCAGCTGTCGAATGTTCGAGAAGCGGTGCGGACGGCGCACTACAAGGCGCGAGTATAAGATGCTCCGCATCTAAAACAGCGTTAAAAAGGCACACGCGACAAGTTAACTGCGAACGCAAGCGTTCTATATTCGTAGCTTTCCTACTCATACCAAGACTTTCCGCGTTTTTTTTGTTGATAGAGTTGTTAATTCGTTGTGTCTACGCCAATCAATGGATATCAAGAAGCCTAGGGCGCTGTTTACAAGGTTTCTTGCTTGAGCTCATGGCATCTGCGACACGCCAGCCCACATCAGGTTATCTAATGCACGACACTCGACGAGGGAGTGCCATGACCAAGAAACTTCTTAGCCGTGCCGGCACGTCTCGTTTAAAGTCTAACATCACGTGGCTAATGGTGCGGATAATCTTTCAGCGACGCTCCCCACGGAATTCGTTATGTTCCACAAAATTGTGCAAGCTTTTTAAAGACGATAATAAAGACGATAGTCTGTCTTGGGGACCATCGACGCAAAAATATTGGTCTGTCTGTCTGTCTGTCTGTCTGTCTGTCTGTCTGTCTGTCTGTCTGTCTGTCTGTCTGTCCACTCTTACCAGCATTGGGTACTTCAAATGACCGACCCCATCCACAGTGACCACCAATGTTGCTCAAAGTTGAGCGTTCATGCCTGTGCAATTGTCAATTAAAAAGCAATTATTGCGCATGTTTGGGGCACCATAACAACACGCATATATTCTGCATATGCATCTCTTACTAGAAAACGCATACATAAGTAATTTTAAGGACCGTGGTGCTTATCACGCTGCGCTTATAATGCAACGCTTGCACGGAACGGGGAGTGTTTCCAACGCTTTGCTAAGACGAGGTGTTTGTGGCACCTACCCGTCGCCTCGCGTTCTACACCTTATCACTTCTGAGACGGGCGCGCACCGCCACGCGCTTTGTTTTCCAAAAGAAACTGGCAGATGGTGCTCATGTCTCATGCGTGATGTGTCTTGATGCGCTCGTTCGCCTCCGCTGCACGCTGGAGGCGCTGTAACGCAGTGGCTCCAGAATACCATTCACCGATTTTCTTGCGCAGAACATCAAATAAATGTTTTGTTCACTCTCTCCACACGCAAGACTATCGTGTTTCGACAACAATTGCAGATTACATGCAGATACGGGGCCTATTTTTCTGCCTGTGTAGCTCATAAAGATTTTTGCGCGGCCAACGAGAATTTTTTCTGCCTTTAGATTTGAAGGCACGAAAACGTAGTCATTTAGAGAACCACGTGTACCAAATTAACGATTGCGCTTTTGGCACATCAATCCCCAAAATTTAACCATTATATGCTATGCTACTTGATGAAAGGCTGGAGCCACTCCGTATTTATGTTACCTTTATTTTTTTGGCTGCATTATGAACAGTCGATAAGTGAGCTCCCTGTCAGCATTGCTTCTATTTACTACACTGTACTAAGAAAGTCCAACAGCCACTAGTGGTCAAGTAAGGTGACTGTAATCAAAGTGGATGGCATGTAGGTTTTCGTGGAGTAACGTAAATAGCTATGTCCAGCACGTGTATATGAGGGCATTAAAGCTTGAACAAAACCTCGTGTCGTCCAGAGCAGACCTACAAAGCGGGGATCACATTACACGAAACAAGAATTACTAATGATACGCAATAATCATACCTGTAGCTTGTAATGCATCTGAGATTTATCGGCAGCCAGGATGTCAAAGGCTTTTTTTTTCGGATATACAAATTGCACTTTGGTTATTGCGTTATGATTTTAGAAACTTCTGATAGGGCCCATTTATAGGGCAGCAAAATACAAGTAGTATCAATGCAGAACCAAACAGACTTTGCACTGATGCAAAGAAGCAATGCACGGTTGCGTACACGTTAGAATAAATAACTGAATGTGATGAAGGAAGCATTCTTTCCATATAGTTGTTTCGAAATGCAACAGCACGTAACTCCACTTATTAATGATTTTCTCGAATATATTAGTCATACGACGTACCATTAGGATTGATGCTAAAATCATTGAATGAATCATTTCAAGTGAAAAACATTTTTCAGCATTGCTCAATGAAAACCTATGTGTCCTGCGCACCTAAATTTAGGGACACAGCTGAATAAAATCTTCATGGTTTAAAATCCTCTTCTTCAAGCAAAATAAATCATGACGCATTGTGTAGTTTTTGCTCACCTCTTTCTTCACGAAGGTACCAAAAGCTTTCTGGGAAATGGAATGACACACAAAATTATATCTGCTGTGAAAGTTATGCAAACCATTTTGTGCCCGCCTTAAACTCAAATTGAATGATGTATTTTGGCTAATCCGACATTTCTGTTAACAGTATAGATGCACTAATATTGCAGAAGCTACAAACATAAATTATTTTACAGCTTGCAAACGCTCCATGGCCTAAGGCAGGACGGTCAGTAATAGTTGACTCAAGTCTGATGGTATAACTGTCTCTGTAACAAATTTTGTCAACTTGTCAAGCGAGAACAAAGGTTTCACCATTAGGTATACACAGAAAGGTACGTACACTAACACGCTTAATTGGGGCAGTAATTAAAATAATTATCACGCACTTGGTAAACTTTCATTTGAAGACTTTTGTTTATTACTTCGCTAAGTAGGTGCTATTTGACATCACATAATGAAGGCTGGAATGCATCACAAATTGCAGAACATAACAAATGGGGAAAACACAAGTGAATGTGTCATGCAGAAACTATACTTGAAACGTAAGTTTACATAATACACAAGAAAACAGCTCTAAAATATTCTCCTATCAGAAGAGAAAAAGGGTGTTCAGTACGTTATTTTTTCTGCTGGTCTTATGTTTGCCCATACATCACACTGCCAGCTGGATGTTAGACCTTCTACAAAAGGTCAAACACCGAGTCAGTTGTATACGGCTGGCTCGATTAGCTGTGTTCTGTGGCCATGCAAATTTCCGTGACCATGGTCACGGAAATTGATTACTTCAGATACGTTTCATTTTCAAAAGTGCCTTGGAATACGCCGGTTGTTAGCAAGGGCGCACGCTTGTTAAACAAAACACAGTGAAAATGAAACAAAACTTGCAGCAGCAGTGAACCTGTTCATAGACAAAAATCAGGGAAAGGGTCAACGCATGGTTTATAGCTGTATTACTGGACAGCAGGGGCTGTCCAGTATTAACTTCATGGTTACGACACGGATACAGTGACATAGTGCTGCGGGCAGACTATAGTTTAGTTAACAACCAGTAGCTGTTTATTAGGTATTGGCGGTGAGCCAAGCAAATGCAGCAGACTTAACATGAATGATACAGTAGTTTGAGAATCGGAAGTGACTAAATTCCTAGAGGAAATATTGAAAGAACTCAGGGATGATAGCCAAATAGCTGAGGCTAAAAGAATAGAATATGAAAATAGAATGGATAATACATGACAAGGGACATGCGTTACGCGTGCATGAATAAGCTGTGCATGTGTGGTCAAAATGGTACTCGCAATCTTCTTGTGAAATCGACACTCGTGATTAGAGCGATATGTGTGTGTGTGCTTCGATACGGTATTACACGTACTGCACATCAGTTGTCACGCAAAGTTCACCTACACAACCAACGAGTAATACACAAGCTCCGCCAACAATTTTCTTGATGTGTGTGCTTTGGACCCACAGTGTGTGATCGCAACCACTGTTCTGCTCGTGCGAGTGGACTGTGGTTATCTCAGCGGCGGAGGCTATGGCGGTGGTGGCTACGGCGGTGGAGGCTACGGCGGTGGTGGTGGCTATGGCGGTGGAGGATACGGAAAGGTAATGGATCGTCACCATCCTATTAATTACGTTTGATGACAGATGGGTATATCTGACATAAATTTCCCGTTAAATCTTTATTACCTCATATGCATACATATTAATTTATACCGTCACTATTCTTTTTTAGTCGCCATAGACGCTTGGCCTGTTGATAACTTTGTCAAGTACCACATCTGAATGACGGGAGCTATTTCATCTTCCTTTTTTGTTTGCTTTAGAAGGCCCTTTAAGGATTGGTAGTTCGATTGATCCGACTTTACACCTAAACTCCCGCATAACATGCCTTTGAACAAAGCAAGTTTACAGCTGTAGAATGTACTTCACACTTACGAGTAAACACTTAGTGATGGATGTGTTCAGTGCCAGTACTCATGAGAAGGTGTCATCAGTGGTCCTGATAGAATCTTTCCAATGTTAAAGGGCACATATGGTCATTCACGCAGAGATCGACGCGGACAGGCTGCGTACATTGAAAGTCAATCAACTTAATGTGAATACCACTAATAAAAATTTTAAAGCTCGGTTCACACTAATGCAATTTTGCTAAAGTCTTCATCTAACAAAGAAATTTGTATTTCCCGGCAGGGGCCCATGAGGTACAGTATTGTCATCGACACGAATTAACGATACTAACTTTGTTCTAAACCTAATTTGACAGTTTATTTTGAAATAAACGAGCAAAAATCTCATAATTTCTTTGTCATTTTCATCAAGGAGCATTTTTATTAGCACGTGTGCTTTATAATGCTGTCTACCTAAATTCCATATACTTCGTAGTCAGGACTCAAGTTTTATTTTATAGGGGCTGCATGCTGAGCCCGTGCACGGTTGTGGTGGTGATTATGATATCTCTGCAGACAAGCTTTGACCAGAAATTGCTCCAGCTGAGCATCTAATGAATTACAGAGGTCTGTCACCAGGCGTTCAACAGCCCGGTGTCTCGTAGGAACACCATCAAATAACATTACGTGCTCAACCTCATTGCTGCGGGCCCTTCAGAAAAAACGACGTCTTCAAACTACCAATAATTATACGACAGCTCCTTCCCTGTCAAACTCTGGGTGAAACCAAATGAAATGTTGAAATTCGCCCATGTGATAGCGAAAAAAAAAAGCACAGAGCGAGAAAGGACGTTCTCGCGTCTTGATTGACAAAGTCGGAGTTTACGCTGATTGAGCTCACATGCACGCGACACAACAGTTTCGCTTGTTATCGGGAAAGTGTACGGGGATCACACATGCTGCAGGGTGTTAAGAGTTATGGTTGCCTTGAAGTGATGGCATATGACATTCGTAGCTCAGGTAACTATTCGGAGCTCTTAATTTTGAGACACACGTTCAAGATTCGCATGCCAGATTATCAGCCATTTCATTCTCTTGAATTCGAACCTGAGAAGGGATCCACTGAAACTTAGCATTGTTACTTATCTGACGTTGAATGAGTGCCGGTAATTGTTTTTGCACGTTTCTTGTTATAGGCTGCGATGCAGTCTTCATCACGCTGGCTTTGATTCTATCAGCATTACTATACATACCATGCAGAGCAGGATCCATATTGTCGAATAGTCGCGGTGATTGAACAATAGGCAGCGCTCTTTCGTATGAGATGAGGCTGGAGTGTTTTTTCGTCTTAGTATATCTTCCACATGAGCACCGCGGTAGCTATTTTCGTTATTTCCCGGTTCCTGCGAAGGGCGGCCCTTATCGTCTCCTACCAAATTCCTCACTTGTCGGCCTCTTGGTATAATTACTGCTTTCTCTCTCCGTGGCGTCATATGTCAGCAGCCTATCGCAGCTTACCTTGAAAGTCTACCTGCTCAGCGTCTCCAGCACCTGAGAGGTATGACTGCATTACAGTTACAATATTCCTTAGGCCTAAAGGTCTCTTCCTCGACTTGATTGAGGAACTTCGCGATTTATTGAAACAATTTGAGTGCGGTCATCAGATGTTAATATTGACTACTAACTGAATTCGGAATCGCAGTAAGCTTAAACATTTAGCAAACAGATTACGAACTTGGCCTAATCAGTCTCGAATGGTCTGATTTGTGGAAACTAGTGACCTTGTGAGCTGTTAAATTTCTAACACGTGAAATCGGGCTAGCAGAGGTAGTTCACGTTCACAGTTCATATTGTTGGCAACAGTGACCCGATGCTGTGCCAGGTCAGTTGGTGTTCAGAGCGAGCGTGAAATCTGGTAAGGCTCAACAGCTTCAGATTACTGATGATACAAAAGCAAGTGGGGAACATGCATCATGAATAACTCTGTTTACGTGCCTTGCTAATAGAATAAATAGTAGAGAAGGAAAGCTAGGGAGGTCAACCAGTCCAGAAAACCTGTTTGCTACCCTACACGTGGGAAAGGGATAGGAGGATTTAAAGAAGAGATGAAAGAGAGGAAAGCGACGTGAAGATAGTACATCACATAGAACGTTCACAGGCACCTAGTCAGTAAAAGCCCAATAATCTGGCGTGGAACGTGATATCACTCTCCAGCCGCTTGACCAGGTCCCTCTTTTTCGAAAGCCTCAGCAGTTCCTTGGTCACCTTCAGCTGAAATGTCATTTCTCGACGAAATGCTAGAACGGATTCAAGAGATATTTGTCTATTGTCAAGGTGCGCCATAGTGGATGCCGGTGATTGTCGCTGCAAATTGTCGACGAGACAGTCACACATTATGTAGCGCAGTGTCTCCTCAGAATTACCGGCACCGCAGAGCCTTGCTAAGCTTTGCCATATTAATGTTACGTGGAAACTGACAGCTGCATTTGTTGATTTTGACGCAGTTATGGCAGCCTTATAAGTTTGGCTACCAAGTCCTGGACGGGTACAGCACCCAGCATCGAGAAGAGAAGAGCAACGGCCTGGGCGGCGTGAAAGGCAGCTACGGCTACACGGACGCCTGGGGTCATTTCCGGCAGGTGCACTACGTGGCCGACAAGTACGGATTCCGTGCTAAGGTGCTGACAAATGAGCCTGGCACGGCAAACCAGCAGCCGGCTGCCGTGCGAATGATTTCAAGTGGAGGAGGAGGCCATGGTTAATAGGAAACGCGCAACAAATGCTATTGTTGCTGAAAACCCTTCCATATAATGACGAACGTGGGAACTCGGACTAAATGAAGCTTTTAACATATAGTTGAATGTTGAAGCTCGCTGTATATCACGGGACAATGAAAGCGGTTAGCTTTATAAGCATTAGTGTGAGTCAGGCTTCGATTGATGGTCGCAATGTTGATTTTGTGTGCTTGTGAGCTGGTTTGAGTGAAGAAGTTTCCTCTGCTGAAGTCTGACACTGCCTGACACCTACGTCTCTAATGTACCACTGCTATGGGCAGGTTTACACAGCAAGAGAGAGTGCATATTGGTAATGTCGTTGGTGAAAGCTAGTCGGCTTCAGTTATACGGCAACAATGAAGATCTTCACAATGGGCGAGCACTGTATTTGTGCTTCCTCATTTTGATTGTCAGGGCCTAACACGTTCGGCTGTTGTCAGACGAGCGTGCTATGTCAGTCAGTGTTTAGTTGTCCTCAGTTTTGCTGCATTTAGGGTGGGAAATTTCAATTTTGAATAGCACCCGTATTGCTCTGAATCACCCACAAAAGGTGTAATACAATTATCACCCCATTCAAGATTAACAGTTAGCACAGACTCCACTTGTTCCTTGTACCCTGTCGTGAGGATGACCCGCATACCATCAAGGGTGCAAGGTCATATGAATGACCCGAAACTTCTGACACTCTGTCAGGATCGTTGGATGTGTACGCTCAACGAGACACCGACGCGAGCAGCACGGTAGACCATTTGGTTTCTCAAGAGCAAGAGTCCACATGGTGTGTACTTAGTTGCGAAGTAAGCACAAGTCGTTGCGAAATGTGAGCGCAGACAAAGGGTTATCGGGATGAAGCTATTGAACACAATGCAACTCGAAGTATAGGCGCCACGTGTACGCAATAGTAGTTGATAATGTAGCCTATTTAATAACAATGCACATTGTTACTGTAAAAATTGTATTTATTTCGGCGCAACTTTTGTTTCACACCATAGTGAATATATGCATGCGTCTGGAGTACAAGAAAAATCTGTTTTGCATAAGTTATCATAGCCACTTGTTCTTTTCTGAAACCATTAGAAACACTGTGTGGTATTGAGTTCTGCTGTTTTTTTTTCGCAAACAGTGAACAGAACCGGTGGTTTCTGTCCGTACTATATCTTTAATCAGCGAGGAAAGTAAGTCATGTTTTGAGATCTCTGACGCAGATTCTGAGAGGAAGAAAATCCCACGTGAAATAGCGTGCCTGAAAGGAGACCTGTGTAAGTTTGACTCTCAGTGCAATTTTTTGCTGGACAATTTTTTTGCCATTTATGCTAAATGAACACGGTAAGTAGGATTTCCGAGATCAAGAAAACGACGATCGACTGATTTAAACAGGAGGAAAACTTGAGAAACACACGAACGCTAAGGGAGACTAAAGAAAAGAAAACAAGATCTATATACTGGGAAGTGTCAGCAACCGAGCAAAATGTAACTAGAGTGGCTATGTAGCTGAAAAAAAGGACAATGAATTGGCACATTGGAGGAGCTTTTTTTTAAGTGGGTCAAATGTAAAACAGAAACTAGCTCCAATAAGGCTGTACTGGCACATACATATTCAAAATTTTCAAGACAGTAATACTAATTTATTTGAAATAATTTATTATTACTGCTCTGGAGGAAAGATGGGAGTAAGTATATACCAATAGAGCTTTGTTTGAACTAGTTTTCGTTCTGAATTTGGCCCATTTCGAAAAAAAAGCTTTTGATTTGTAACCATCGACGTTATAATTTCCCTATTCGTCTCCGTCTTTTAGGAGTTTAGGGCACGTAGGTGTCATCCGAAGAGGGAGTCTGAAAGTTAGCACGCTGAAAATACTACAGCGTTGACGTAACGAATGGCAAAATGTACTTTAAATTTGTGGAGGAAAACTTGCCTGCTGGTTGCACAGTTTCCAAAGTAAAAATAATAAAAGAGGCATTCCCGAAGTTTTCTATACCAATGACAGATGAGTATCTAGTATAGTGGTGTCCAGGCCTGTAGAATAGGTACCATAGAATGAAGTGGAAAATATAAATTAGAAAACACTGGTAACATGCGTTGCCCACATCTCAGTTGTAAGGTGTTCAACTTCCACAAAATGGTGCGAAAAGCTTAACGACGGTGCGTTCCGGCAACATTACCCTGCAACACAGAACCACCTCTCCGTTTGAAACGGGTTCTCGAACACTCTGTGTAAAGTATACTGCAATTGCGTTGTTGTTGTCTTTTGCACTGAGCCACGCAAAATATCTATTCGACGATTCCGGGATGAAGGTTCATGGCTTTACGAATGTCACCCCTCATGCACGCAAGCTGCTCACATACACAATGAGCAGCTGACGTATGTCAGCATTGTGCGTGCACGTGGGGTGAGATTTATCACAAAAAAAGAAACAAGCACGGACAGATGCACACGTTTGGTTCTTCTTGTATTTCATGGCATCACAATGCTCTATCGCAGGTCAAGGAAGTCAGAGCCACAATCACAAAGGAAGAGTTAACCCAACAATTGTTGGCGCACGATATGGGATTCCTTCAGTGCCTTTCATTTCTTTATTTTAATGATGCTGTTTGCTTATGTTAGTACACGATGACTCCGATATAACCAGCAGATGAGCGCTGGCTTTCCCTTACCCGCTGAACATTACCCGCGGTCTAAATAGCGCAGTGAAGTCTCGTCGCATTCTCAATAGCCAGCACAAGCCAAAGCCATTGTCGCTTGGCGCAAAGTGTCCTTGCATTGCGTATCGTGTCTTGCGTGCATTCGCTTTGTCCCTGGACCCAGGGTCAAGCCTTAGTACAATAGCCTCGTTACGTATTGTTTTCGCCCTCAACACGGTCTTTATTCACCTTACCGCAGCAGGGCTTGTGAAATGGTAGCCAGGACAGCGAAGTTTGAGCTGTACGGTCATTATTGGTGGCGTGATCACGACCCTCGCTTCGCTAATCTTGTTTAGAAAAAAAAAAGTGTGGCTGGCGCGAATCTACACAACGTCTTGTATCCCGCCAGCATACATTGAAGCGTGAAAAGGAAACTGAGTGGCAGCTCATTATCTGCTGGTGATACTTGTAACCGCTCTGTGGCAAGGTTGATAAGCACTGAGAAGTTTCAAGGGGATGTGATTGAGCCTGAATCAAACCAGCTTCTCAATTTCGCGATAACATCAAAACCACTGCACGCGGCTGCAGTTCACAGATTTTGCTCAGGTAGTTTGAGAAATCCTGCGGAATTCAGAAGCGTTGTGTCACGGTTGTACAGGCTGAGCCCACCAGAAAGCCCAATTATAGTTTTTCGTGGAAGGCTTACGACACGCAAACGCTGCACTGTGTCAATAAGGAATAGAAGAAGTTGTTGCTGTCATTTTACGCATATAATTGTCCCAATATAACGCGATCTGCAATACCAGCAATGCTGAAGAATTGTTGGAAATTATCAAGTCACTCTTCGGTAGTTACTGACAGACAAACTTCAAAATTGCTAGACAGAGTGGCGACGCATTCATTTATCTTCATGTCAATACAAAATATTTACAAACAGATGAAGGTTTTGGAACTGTTTTCGAATAGGACGCATTTGAAATGGTACCGACGGTATATCTGAGAATACTAATGTGGAATGTACATAGTGCTGAAAGTTAATGCTCCCTTACCAAACATTTTTGCAATAAGAGTGACTCATTTCTGCTTTTCAAATATTCAAAAACACAAATATTCATGTGTTCGTTAGCTCGCGTTGTTTACCTGTAATTGTTTTTGCTAAATATATCTTGCTTCCTTTTCAACTTATATTAGTTTAAGTTAGCTTATGTGCGAGTTATCCTAAGCTTCGCTCGTTATATTGTCTCTAACTTGTTTTGTTCGCTAACAAGAAAACTAACTGACATTTGCAGTTATGAAGAAACCACAATAATCAACAATGTGTGATTATAGCTTGTAAAAAGTAATATGCTTCACCTATTACCAGTTGCTTTTTTATTCTGGTTTGTCGTTTATGCATGCATATAAGCTTCACACGTGTAGCAGGCTCACTTGGCGTGGTGCTTTATGTACAAAAGCAAGTACATTGCTATCGCATTTATGCCTCGGTTACTGGGTCATGTACTACACTTTGCACTATGATTGTCAACAGTGCGTCTTGTTCAACTTTAACCATCTGTCAAATTTTAAGGGGCACCATATTAACAACTTTAGTCATCTACTTCTCTGTTTCCGAGAACAATATGTGTATGCTATTCACATGCTTATGCTTAATATGCATAGGCGTAATATGTATAGATATTGTACATGCGTCACAAGTTTTGTTGGATAGTAAGTCTATTGAGGAATATGTACCGTGTTCTCTTGCTTATAATTTTAAGGGACACCATGTTAAGAACTTTAGTCCTCTACTTCTCGGTTTTTGAGCTTAATATGTATATGCAACTCACATGCTTATGCTTAATATGTATGTGCGCATTATGTATACGTATTGTACAGTAGTCGCCAATTTCGTTTGATAGTACGTTTTTTTAGGACTGTGTACAGATCTGTCGTTTGCTCTTGCTTATTTGCCATAATTAGAGTGTATTCAGAGTTTTTTTCTTGATGAGCCTAATATCTGCCTGTTTAGCTGCTGTTTGTCTTGTTGTTGTGGTTGTTGCTGTTGTTGTTGCTGCTGTTGTCTAAATATAATGTTTAAAAAATGTACACGCGTACAGATAAACTCAATAATTGCTCCTCTGTAGCAACCTAATTGTGTCGTTTCCTTGACAATGTGAAATACATATAAATTACGAGAACAGCAGAAGAAAAGAAGAGTAACTTTTAAAGGCCCGTTTTTTCTAAATTAGTGAAAAATTACAGACAACACTACCAAGGAAAGCAGAGGGAATGTTATTAGCAGTATATGTATACCTGAAGAAAGAAAGGTGGACGAAAGTAACTTGCCGTGTGCAGGGACCCAACCAGCGCCCTTCGAATGACGCGTCCGATGCTCTACCAACAGAGCTATGATAGCGGCTATCTTCCCGTCCACTTTACGGGTTATAAATGTGCATTTAAACGGGTTAGGTCTCTGCCCATGCCAAGTCATGTTTTTGTTCACCTTTCTTAAGATTTAGATTATGTTTAATAATAACATTGCCACCTGCTTTCCTTAGTAGTGTTGTCTTTGAGTTTTCATTAATATAGAAAAGCAAACGAGGTCTTAAAATATTTTCCACCTATATATAAGGTGAACAAAAATGACTTTCCAGGGCCGGGACACAACCAGTGACCTTCACTATATATATATAGTCCAGTAGATCCTCCGTGAGCGGTCACAACGTGGTTTATTTCGACGTTTCGGCCTAGAGTCTGGCCTTCATCAGGATATATATATATATATATATATATATTTATATATATATATATATATATATATATACGCTCAAGAAAGAGACGACAAAACTTTCAAGGAAGCGTCTTTGCTTAACCTTTTCAGCTGGTGGACCAGCCTCCGTCAGAGTAATGTGACAAGAATTCATACATGACGTTTCGGCCTAGAGAGTCTGGCCTTCATCAGGATCCTGATGACGGCCAGACTCCAGGCTGAAACTTCGAAATAAACCCCGTTGTGACCACTCACGGAGGATCTACTTGACTATATATATATATATATATATATATATATATATATATATATATATATATATATATATATATATATATATATATATATATATATATATATATATTGCTAGAAAGTCAGCAACCGGGTGGGGCGATTGCTCGCGAATTTCGCAAGCTTAGTTCCACCGGCATCCACCATTTTTATATGGTATGATACTATCTAAAAATATTCATAACCCGCAGAAAGTTACCTGCAGGCAAACTTTCTTGTTGCAGGCTTGTGCCACATTTACTTAAGAAAGCACGTTGAGGAGATGGTGCCAGATACATCGTTAATTAAATATGTAGCACCCCATTTGACGATGACGGAACGGAGAGGAACATGTGAGCACCCGTCCTGTCATGTTCTTCTCTGTCCTTTCCTCGTCAAATGTAGGCTACAATTTAAGAATGCCCCTTTACGATGAGCCATAGACGACGGGAAAGAACAGTTACTCATCGGGCACCGACATGACGAGAACGTATCAAGAGGCGTACGAAGCGCGTAAACTTGAGATTTTTTTTTATTGTTGTGAGCACGTGTCTTCTTTAGACAATACTGTGCAATATAAATACAGCGCGTTGCTTTTTTTGTGCCCACCTGTAGCATTTCTTCTCTTGCAGAGTGCGGAGCGTTCAACTATAGCATCCCCGCCTTTTGTTCCGTCTGCTATTAGTAACCCCATCACCATTGCGTATAAGGAAGTGGGTCGTTGTGTAATTGAACACGCATTGCGGAGCATACCGCCTTCTGGGACGATTAAAAAAAAGTGTAGCTACACTTTAATTGCAGCCACTAATTTGCCGTGACTATGACCAAGCCTAGTGTTCGTTCTTGGTACTTTGCGTGTTGCGTAATGGCGACCGCGCCCCTGTGCTTGAAAGCACTGGGGTGCTTTAACTTGGCGGACGCCAAACGCGTGACGCGGAAACGCTCTTCCGTGACGTGT